CTTTCGTCTGCTTCGTCAATTTTCTTTGCAGACACGAGTCTTTTCGTTACTTCGGCCGCGTACTTTATTCAGTTTTCTCCTTCGATAATCTTTTCTACGTTTATCCATTTATTTCCTATCCGCTATCCATTGATCTTATTTACGGAAAGCCGTTCCCTCATCCTAGCAATAACCAAAAAATGATCCGAATCACAATCCGCCCCCCTGTACGACTTAACATCTAGTAAGTTCGTGTATCTTYGTTTATCTGCCTGAACGTGATCTATTTGGTTAAGCGTATTTCCGTCCGGGGAAATCCAAGTTTGTTTATGGATGTTTTTATGTTTAAAAAACGTACTTTTARCGATGAGATTTTTCCCGGTCGCAAAGTTAACTACCCTTACTCCGTTATCGTTACTTTCCTTATGRAGACTCCCGAACTCAATCGTTGGTCTAAAAAATTCTACTTTACTGATTTTCGCGTTAAAATCTCCTACGACTATCTTCATGTWWTCTTTCGGCAATTGATCCACGACGCGCTSAAGTTCCTCGTAGAACCCGTCTTTAACTTCGTCCTCTTTATCTTCCGTCGGCGCGTGCACATTAATAATYGCAACCTTGTACCATCGCCCCTGTAATACGATCAGTCCTAACCTTTCATTTATAAACCTAATGTCTTTTACCGCGGATAGTATTATTTTCCTAATCATGAACCCGACACCGAAACTATGGATCTCCGACCCCCCACAGTAAARCGTATACGCTCCCGCGTTGACCGAATCTTCCTCGGCCCATCTAGTTTCTTGTAGCGCGACGATTTCTACCCCGTACTTCTCTACCTCCCCGACCATCACCTGAGGCGCCCCAGGTCTGAACAGGCTTCGCACGTTCCAGGTGCCCATTTTAAAGTCCCTTCTGTTTTTTGACTTTACCCGACACGAATTCCCCTAGGTAGTCCCCACCCGGAGATCCGAACGGGGGACTAGTTTATCTCCGGAAAATTTTACCCTACTAGAATTYATGGCAGTTTTATTTGTTTCTTGATAAAGTCTTTTTACGGAGTGGGGTAATCAGACCTACGCCCAACCCCCGAACAGGAGGGCCAATTCCAAGTCGGCTATTCACGACTRTTTATTCAATTTATTCGCAACTAACCTCCGTCCCTATGCAGGACCAAGAGACCTTTTCTCTATCCGCAACCTGAGGACACGCTGTGTCGTGGTGACTGGGACCCACCTACCCCGGGGACCATTACAAACTAGTTTTCCTTCCCCGAGACTAGCAGCTGTTATGCTAACACAGACCTTTTAAAAATATGTCCTTAAAATGATTTTTTAAAATTCAAATTATTTTCGGAGATATAGCTGTTTTAGTGACGCGGCATCCTACCTTTATTACGCGAAACTTTGAACGCGTTTTTCTCGAAACTACTTTTTTTTAAGGTGGTTGACATGATATCTCAAGTTCTACTCAACCGATTTCTTTGAAATTTGGTGGGAATCTTCTTTATATATCTCTCTATCGGGTGACCTTTGGATTTTGAAAAATTTTAATTTTTAGTATTTTAAAAAAATTCGAAAAGATCAAAAAAAGGGGGTAAAAAAAATTTGTTTTTTATTTCGACGCCATTTTGTGAATTTCTTTTTTACTAAAGGTCACCCGATAGCGACATCTTTTCTGGTTAAGAATTTTCCAAATTTTTGAGTTTCAGATCACTACATGGGTTGGAATCATGTCAACCAGGGTGCACCGTTTTTTTTTGTAGCCCCCACTTCACCGGCCTGTATTTTTACGAATTTTTTATATTTTTTTTCACGATTTTTTTTTCATTCTTAAAATGTTAATAAACATCATATAAAAAAGTGGATACTAAAAATGCTTTTCATTTTTTTTTATCTTAGTTTGAAAAATGCCTAAAATGTAGGCTTCTAGACAAGAATACCCCCTTAAAACTGTCCGGGTAGCAGGATTTTTTWTAGCTATTTTACCTTGTAAACAACTTACGAAATAAATTAAAAATAAAAACTTTGTAATGATATGGGGCATAAAAATAAATCGCTTTATAAAATGAGATATTTGTGTCGCAGTTTTGAAAAATCCAAATCTATTAAGTAAATAAGAATACTAATGCATTGTTACAAATTAAAAACCAGGACACTTTAATGACTTTTTAAAATTSTTTGGAATTTKTTTTTWACCTTTGATGGAAAATATTGTTTTTATGCAGAAAAGAAGTGTTACAGTTAAAAGATGTTTTTAATGTCGTTTTTTAAAGAATCTTAGGGATTTTAAGGTTTTTTAAAATAATTGTGTATTTTTTTGCTATATTATTTCTAAGCATAAGATAAAATATTTTTAATTAGTTMTTTATTCCTAATTTATTCCGATCATTTTGAGCGCACGTAGTCTATGTACGTAACACTTTATCGACCGGCAGTCGATTAATCGACTTTTTGTTCCCAGCGCTTACCGACCGGTAGTCGATTAATCGACTTTTATTCCACAGAGCTTATTGATAAATATTGTTTAGCACTTATATCAATAAAATAAAAGATTTTATTAAATTTGGTTATCCTATAATAACACAAAGCGTATAATTTTACTAGAGCATAAGAAAAGCGCAAATATTCCCGCGCGACAGTCTAAGCCGAAACCGAGCCGGTGTCTCGGACGATATGCGACTGAGTGGTTGGTGAGAAGGGCATAGGATTCTCGAACCGCTACCGGTCGGTAAAGTGTTWATTACTTATAGAAAAGTTATAYATCTTCTACTTTCAGAAAATATAATATTTGTTTTACCCATGAAGCAATAATGTAAAAAACGAGTAAAAATTGCATAGATAATAAAGTGTAAGCTTCATATTCACTATCAAGGTAGTCTTAAAATAGAACTAAAAATCCATGTTTCTAGTTTAAAATATAAATTTCTTTCGAATTGATAACAATATATATAATATAAGATTTATTAACACAGTGAAATATAAACTACTAATTTCTAGGATAGTTTAATAGAAAATACATTTCTTTTAACATTCATTCTAAAAGAAGTTCTACTTTATGAAATATTCGTTGATTGAAGAAACTATGAGTAGTTGATATAAAAAAATAATGACAATGTAAGTAGTTAAAAAAAAAAACAATTAACTAGAAAAATTTCTTAAGATGATATAAATGTGAGTGACGTAATGAAGATAGATCGTAAYATAAAATGATAATTATTATGGATTTTATGGAGATGGCAGTGATTCAAGGAGGGATAAATTAATAATAAGACCATTTTTGATACGCAGTCAAGCAACGATAGTCATTCGCTTTAAATGATGTGATAACATTCTAGTTAACGCTCATAAATATTTCTCTCTTYSCRTGTATTAATAATCMGGTAAAATTTCAAATAATATCATTCGCTCTTCTTCTTTTTATTTGTTTTTCCTTTTAAATGTTTATGTAGACTAAAATCTTGGTATCGAAAATGATTCTGTAAAATGCTTACAAATGTGAAATAGTATATTTCACACTTTAAAAACATTTAAATATAAAAATAAAATAAAATATAAACAAATTTAAATATAAAAATAAATAAAATGTGAAATTTATGAGACAGGTGATATTTTTTTAAATTATTCGATATCACGATTTAATTTGTTAATTTAGAAAAAAAAACATATCGGTGGCTCCCTATTTTAATGATAATTTTTTTAAATATTTCCTCCCTGCAAAATTTTTAAAGAAAATATTACGCATGCTTCAACTTTTATGAAGATGCRGCAAGCTTTTTTGAGTATGGCGTAACCTTAGCAACGACTTATTTAGTTTATTAATTWYATTTATCAATCTCATATAATAATAAATTAAATTATAAATTAAATAATTACGATAAAATTAAATAAAAAATAAAAATATATTCTATTAAAAATATAAATTATTATTTAAGTTTAAAAAATATTTTTTTAAATAAAATTTAATTAATTAAATAGGGAGTTTATAAATTATTATTATTATTATTATTATTATTATTATTATTATTATTATTATTATTATTATTATTATTATTATTAAACGCTTAATTATTACGTATTAAAAATGAGCTCAGACGACTGCAGTGACAGTGATTTGGGGGAAGAAGAAATATTGAGAAATTTAGAAGAAAAAGGACAGCTCATTATTCGAAATTTACTTCCAGAAAAGTCAAAACAAAAATATGAGATGCTATACAGAGAATTTTTATCCTGGAAGGAAAAAAATAAATGTGRTTCATTCAATGAAAATGATTTCATTGTTTATTTTCATGAACTCGCTAAAATACATTTATCCTCAACTCTATGGAGTATATGGTCCATGTTGAAGACTATTATGAGTCTGCGACATAATATTAATTTGAATATGTACAACAACCTCAAAGCTTTCCTTAAAAATCAAGCAAAAGATTACAAACCCAAGAAAGCACAAGCTCCAACATTGGCACAAATAAAAGAATTTTKAAATAAATTTGATGATTCAATTTATTTGGCGGCGAAAGTAAGTWRATTAAAAAAAATATTTAYAGCTTAAAATTGATAATTCCAATTTATACAATTATTAATATTTTATTTAAAAGGTCATCCTTATGTTTGGAGTATGTGGTGCTCTGAGAACCAGTGAATTTTGTGAAATYAAGATCAAGGACGTTGAAGATACGGGTACCCAACTAATTGCATCGATACGAGATAACAAGAATCATTATCCATGATCATTTATGTAGGGGAGTTTTAAGTATCGAAGAATAAACATAGATAAGTAGGTAGGCGACGAAAGGCTAAAGGGAAAAAGACCCGATGGTCGAAATAAAGAAAAACGATGCGTGGTYKATTCTTTGTAAGTTGAGTAAGTTGTGTGTGTAAGTCTGTGTGTGAGTCTAGAAGGTTCTCGAGCGATATCGGTGATTTGTTTATTAGACCGAGCTGGACGTTGGGAAAATTCGAGAACGGTTCGGAAGATGGTTTATCCCTCAGGGATGCAGGGTGAGGGAAGAAACCCATAAGGAGAGGACAGTCACGCGTGTGCAAGCGTGGAGGAGCGTGGAGAGAAYMGAGCGACGAGAGCGAGTGACAAAAGCGATACGATATGAGTGATTAAAGAATGATTASCGAGTGAATAGCGAATGAGTAGCGAGTTGCGGTAAGATTGCGGATATTCGCGGGTTTCGTGCGTTTTGTAAAGTCAGAGTGAGTGTGAGAGATTGTGAATTGCAATTGTATACTGATTAGGTATACTTGTCGAAATAAAGAATATTTTCTATATTTTAAATGGTACCGGCAACATAGGGAGATTAGATATCCTTAGCCGGATACAAAACGATTGATTTCCTTACATTTATAATAGGAAAATAATTTCTATTATTAGAGATTTTAAATATTATTGTGAAAAATAATTATTCATTTCATTATAAACGAGATTTTTAGAACGATTATTTTATTCAAGCATATGTATATATATATATATATATATATATATATGAGTATGTTTGATTACTTTCTTCAAGGAAGAAACAATAATATAAAAACCGAAATTATATTTTTTTTATACATTCTTTTTTTCAGAAAAGGTTTGTCTACAAATTATTACAACTATGCCCAGCTTGTGTGTAACATATCAGCTATTCAAAAAAACATTTATTCCTTTTTATTTTCAAATTTAAAGTAGTAGATTATTTTCAGTATTCTGGAAAGTTTAAATTTTGAGCTGAAAAATTGTATGTTTTGTAAGTGGCTGATGTAGCTGGCTGAGAAAAATGAATAGATAATTTTTAAAGTTTACATTTATATGATGTAGATGAATCACTATAATCCAAAAATATGAAGAATTCATAACAGGATATTTTAAGAAAAAAATTTTTTATTATATGGATAAAATTTCGACTATGTTTTGAGAAAAAGTAGCTGCTCATATAAATTGCTTACTAAGATGAAATGTAAAAAAAAATAGGAAATATATATATAATATATATTTAATAATGTTATAATATATAATATATATTATATATAATAAATAAATTTATAATATTTTTGGACAACTCTATGTAATTAAAAAAAATTAATTCAAAATTTAGCTTATTTGCGACCACTTTACAGGTTTAATAATCCTAAGCCGCACATAAAAGTTAAATTCGATAAACAAAATGATGAATTTTGTACTTTATTTTTTTTGTTAAGTAATCGACGCAAGCGGTGAACCAACATCAGGATTCGTTTATGGAAATAATTATTGGTTGGGTAGCAAAGATCAGTGYAAAGATGCGGGAAATAGAAATCCTTTCATGTTATCGGAAGAGATATTATAAAACAATTTGAAATATCGTCATATCCAGGATGAATTTCCCCCTTTTTAAATGAAATTCTTCGTCGCTAATTTTCGACATAATAGCACTTTACAATATCACATTATAGTACCTGACGAAGTAAGTTTCCATAAAAATTAGATGGGTGATTTTAGAAATTAAATGAAATCTTTTGATTTTTTCTTTTATAGGATTTATTCATATTAGGTATGTGCTTACTAGCATCCTGTTCGAAAAACCTACTTACTATTCTCATAGAAGTCTTGTTGAAAAATAGAACTTTATTTGAAGGCGAACTATATTCAGCTGACTTTTCGTTAGTTGAAGTGAGAGATTTAATCGTTGACCATCGATGGTTGTTCAGTGGAACATTTATTACAATGACGTACATAAGCAATTCTTTTATATTATAATTTACTATAATTCATCATGAAATCTAYAATATACTTATATTTTTTGTTTTGTTTCTTTTTGTAGAGTAATAGTCGTACTCACATTCCTATTAAGGATAATAGGAACAGGCTACGATGTTTTGATATACTAGAAACGTTTCAAGAAAGATGATAATTACCTTCAAATCCTAGAAAATGATAATTCTATACATACAGGTAAATTTATGTAATAATTTTAAACCCATTTGTTATAATATATGTTTTTGCGTTAGTATTATTCCATAAAAAATCCTTTCTACGTACTYTATCGCAGCATAAGGTACAACTTGTATATTTTTCGGTAGTTTATGTAGGACTTTTCCATTCTAGAGATACTTGTGTAGGTGACTTATAACAGAAGGGTTGTTATAGTTATTAGTTATTGATAAATAAATCTTTATGTAATATCATAATATATATTATTTAGATTATATACAAACGCTAAATAATAATGACAACAATGAAATGGAAACATTAAAATACCACAGATTTTTTTCGAAATATTTCTAGYTTTTTTTGTATATTCGAACACTAAAATACTATTTAGAATAAGATCGGCTGATACTAATATACCAGTTATATACAGATTAGGATTTCTTACTGTGATATGGATAATTATGGGGCACACATTCTATTTTTGGAGAGATACTTATGGTATGTTACWAATAATTATAAATAAATTTAATTTTTATTACTATAAAAGATTTCATTTAAACTTATTATGATTTTCTTCATTATTTTACTTACAATCTATTATGTTTATTTAAAGACAATAAACCAGTTGTTATAAGAAAAGCAGAGGGTTTTTCCGAACAATTGTCATTTAATGGATCCCTTGCAGTTGATACATTTTTATGTTTGGTCACTTACTTGTATTTAAAGAAARAAATGGGCATGGGTATACGTAAACTCTCTAATTATTTAAATATCATTAAATTATATTTTTTTGCTTTCCTCAAAAGGTTTATAAGGTGGGACAATTTTTGTTAATGCTAAATTTTTTAAAATATCAGGAATAATTTATACATAAGTTTGTTAAGTATAAAAATGATAAGAGAAATTTCGTTATATCAATAATAATAATATTTTTTTAACCTGTATATTAGTCGTTAGTAAATATGATCCTTTGTTTTGAAGATCTGTATATAGGTTGACAATAACATAAAGCAGCAAAAAAATATTGATATAAAAAAAGAAATAAAATATACCTGCTACAGGGAATTGCAGAAAATGGCATTCTGATTTAACATAACAAGTCTTCCTCTATCATAAACCTCAACAAATAAATTATTTTATTAAAACACTGTTTGATAATATTAACATTTTCAAATAAAAATTACTAGTTTAACGAAAACAAATAGAATAGAAAGCTTTTCTCATTTTGGAAGTTGTCAATATTTATTTCCCGTTAATATTTCTAATATTTTTTKTAACCACCAAAATTAAAAATTAGAGAATATGTTTACCAAATRGAATTGTTAGAAACTGAATATCAAGARTTTAGTAKTACWCAAAATTAAAAATATARTAATTTYAATSTATCTWATTTATTTTTCGCTACTTCTCCTATTTTAGATTGACACCTACTTTCATGATATTTATCGGATTATTGCAAATAAATACAACGTAGTACAGTAAAACTTCCCTCATTTCCATAACGGAAAGTAACCACAAAAATTGTCAAAAATATTGGTTGAGAATTCTTCTTTATATTCAAAATTTCTTTAGTTTGAAGGATATGGTACAAACAATTTCAATAATTTTCGTATAAATTAATTAATATTAGGTATAACATTTCTGATCAATATAAATTTTTAAAGTGTATGCGTTGGAGTTGGTACTTGGCAGCCGACATGCAATACTACGTGATTTCAATTTTCCTATTATTCTTATCTACAATATAAATATCTTTACTTTATAATTAACAGATCTTAATATATATAAATTACGTGTCACGTTGTTTGTCCGCAATGAACTCCTAAACTACTGAGCCGATTCTAATACAATTTTGCACACTGTGTGCAGTTTCATCCAACTTGAAAGATATGATAGTTTATATCTCAATTAATAATTGCAATATTATTTTATTGCGAATTATTTTTTTATTAGCAAAGAGTGATGATTATCTCTGTTAGTTCGATCAGATTCTAACAGATGGCGTTATAAGGTAATTCGTTGACTTAAAGACGTGTGTATCGGACTGATTGTGAGCCATAGCAACGCGTGGCGAGGCACCCCTAGTTTGTATATAAAAAAAAATTTAAATGCTCTAAACAAAAACATTAGTAAACATAATTTTACATCAGGTACTTCAGATTTTTCGTTGTTCGGATCTTTAGTTAGACGAGAGTATTCAGAAAGATAAGTTTGTGGTCCAAAGAATAAAGACGAGATATGTTCTAAATAATAAGGATCTCGAAGTGTGGCAGACTATGGAGTTGAAGAAGTATTTCTCGTAAAGATCTCTTTTAGATCTCTCATTGCATTTGTACCAGAACTTTCGTTCAGACCAGCATTATATTCCATATGTTTTTCGTAATGTCTTTATTTCGTCTATCCTAAAATGTTTGTTATACAGCGCAAGAATGTAGATGAAAACGGGAAATTGAAAACCATACTAACAAAAAAAATTTTATACCTGTGTTTCAAAAAAAGGATTATTTATGTTTACCTAATTTCTGACGAATTATATTTCTTTTGATAAACATCCTACCATTTTGGTGATTATTTATAACTATCGCATTCAGCATTCCGTTTTTATTGCTTGAATTGTGAAAAGTGCACATTTTATCAGCTATTCCACCCAGAGACCATACCGGTGACCTTTATTATACAAAGTAATAATATTATAATAAATAGATCCTACAATTATCTTATTCTTAATATTGTGCATTTGTCTCATTCTCTCGAGACTTATTTTTTTTAAGGTTTCATTTCTAACACGTGTGATCTGCACACATGATTTTTTATTATTATAATTATTATAATTATAAATAAGACTTTGTCTTTGCATTTGTATACAGGCGAAGTCAAAGTAAGGTAAGCTACATGTCCTATATTTTCTTGGAAAACATTCAATTTTTATTTAATATTTCTAATATATAAACTAGGGTTTTTAAGGAAGGGAAACTTTTCTTGACAAACAAATAAGGTTTTATTATCCCATCTATTAGGTTCGATCACGTGTTTTATTTCTCAATTTAATTTCTTTCATTTTCCCCTTATCATAGCTTTTCGCTTAGGCCAGAAGACTTTTTTTTTAAATATATTTATTTAACAATTTAACAAATGCCACCAATCAAAGACAAAATGTCTGAAATTAAGGAGAAAAA